AGAAGAGAGGCCCCAGAGAGCTCTCTCGCCTCACCCCTTCTGCCCTATGAGTCACAGCATAAAAACGGCCATCTGTGAACCAGGAGGCAGGCCCTCAAAATCTGCAGCCCCTTGATTTGGACTTCCAAGACTCCAGATCTGTGAAAAATAAATGCTTGTTGTTTAAGCCACCCGATCTATGGTATTTTTGTTACAGCAGCCTGAACAAACTAAGACACACTGTATCCCTAGTTCTTCCTCTGAGCTCCTGTTTCTACATTGGTAAAATGTGGCCAGGAAGGCTTGCCCTCCTTGACCCCTCCAGGAGTGATTGTGAGGGGCGAGTAGGGCATTGTCCATGGAGACATTTTGGGGATCCTGAATCTATAAAGAAGTAATCAAAAGCACAATATTGCCTTTGTGTGGATTATAATCATTATCATTAGAAAATGGGGGCTTTCTAGGTGGGATGGCACGTGCCTGTAATGCCAGTGACTGTGGAGGCTGAGAAAGGATGGTTATGCAAGGAGGCCAGGGCAACACAGAGAGACGCTCCTGTCTAAGATAAATAAAAAGGTAAATAAATAAATATTAAATAAATAAAGTAAGAAGTGGAAGCTTGATGGCAGCTGTGTCACTTAATTTTATCCATCAGCCTGCCAACGTTACCGTGCCCAGGTGCTTGGTCAAATAGCTGTCTAGATGTTTCTGTTAAGGTATTTTTTAGATGAGATTAACAATTAAATCAGTAGATTTTGACAAAAGCAGATTACCCTCCAGAACATGAATGGTCTCATTCAATCAATTAAAGGCATTAAGAAAGAGACAGAGGTCCCCAAAAGAGGAAGGAATTCTGCCTCCAGACTCTCTTCAGACTCAAAATTATCAACTATTCCCTGGGTCTCCAACCTACTGGCCTTCCCTGCAAACTTTCAACTTGCCTGCCCCCACAGTTATGCGAGACAGCTCCTCCAACTGATTCTCTCCCTCTCTATATGTACGTCCTATTGGTTTCTCTGTTTCTCTAGAGAACCCTGGCTAATACATCTGGGTTCTAGTGACATCTGTGAAAATGCACTTGGGCCCAGACATGCCCAGGCTCCAACCATATGGAAGGAAGCATTTCACGGTGCTTGTCCTGTAGTCAGACAGCAGGCACAGCAACTAGCAGTTGCTGCGTAGTAAACTCCGTCTCAGAAGTTGTGCTGATTTTCTGTGTCCCTCTTTACCAATCTAAGGCAGTCACTTTTGATTTAAGGAATTAACTGAAGATCTCCTATGATTCAAAATTCACACGATTCAAGAACAATCCTGATAAAAAGTGATGGCAATTTCTGCTTATCAGCTACAGCGCAATGAGCATTGTTTACAATTTACTCAGCCTACTACTTTGAAATTGTGATTCTCCTCAAGTTACTTTGGGAGATTTAATGACCTCCTCACATTTTGTGCATGTAGTAAGACTGTACTAAGTTTTTATATCACACTGTCTCAAAAACACATAAAATGCCCATACAAAATTCCCCAACAATCCATAAAAATGATTTTCCATTTTTGTTCTAGGTTTATGCCCCACTAAAACATTTATTACTCTGAAGCAAAACAGAAAATAGGCAAAGACGACACTCCAGATCTTTTTGTCTCCAAGGCCTCTAGGAGTTACTATATGAAAAGCTTATAGTTAGGGGCACTGCCTGTGGCTCAGTGAGTAGGGCACCGGCCCCATATACCAAGGGTGGTGGGTTCGAACCCGGCCCCGGCCAAACTGCAACAAAAAAATAGCTGGCCATTGTGGTGGGTGCCTGCAGTCCCAGCTACTCCAGAGACTAAGGCAAGAGAATCAGCTAAACCCAAGAGCTAGAGTTTACTGTGAGCTGTGATGCCACAGCACTCTACCAAGGGCAAAAAAGTAAAACTCTTATCTCTAAAAAAAAAAAAAGGAAAGAAGAAAAGCTTATAGTTAGTAATTAGGTAGTCATTAGGTTATGTCCATGAACAGTGTTGTCTGTGATTTTAAAATATCAAAAGACATATTAGTGAACTGTATGAGATGTATAAGCAGGCAAAGAAAAGAGATTTGGGAGAACCAATGAATTTCATGTTCTGTTATTATTTTAATAGAGCAGGTGGCTAGAAATAGCAGAAAGTCTGCAAATGCCTGAGGCCCAAACCGCCACATGTGTGTGGCATCCCTTGCCTCTTCCTTGTCTTCCCAGTGGAGGAAAGACCAAGACTTACACTTCCCTGGTGCTCCCATCCTCACCCTCTTCCACCTCCCCAGTTGCCTGCTCTTCATCCTACATCTCCAACTCCCCCTCTCCACTGGGTCTTGGCAGTCAGCCCTTCAACAAGCCCATCCTAAACACAGTCCTAATGAAAACTTCCATCAGCTCTACATCACCCACCTCCCCATCCTTCACAACTTCACTCCCTCATCCCCCTTTACCGGACATTCTGGGAACGCATTTACGCATCTTATCTTCCTCCCTGTTTCTCATTATCATCACCTCAATCCACTGCGGTGTGGTTTGGGCCCCCACTTCTCCCAGAGCCGGTTCTGCCCATAGACCCCACAATTCTTGTGCTGCCACACCCACTGAACACTCTATACCCACTGGGCTTATTCCCATGTTCTGCCCGCTGATTCTGACAATGGTGACCACTACCCCTTTTTGGAACACTCCTTTCTTGTTGCCATTACTTCATATTTCTGATTCTTCTCCTTTCTGGCCAATTTTTCTCAGCTTTCTTTATCAATTCTCCATCTACCTGGCCTCAGGTGTGAATACACCAGGCCTTTATCTTAGGGGCTCTGCTCTTCTCCCTTGGTGCTCAGCCAGGGTAGCCACACCCATCCTGTAGCCTCAGCCACCCCTGACATGGGGATGCCTCTGAAAATCTTGCCCGTGGCCCGGACACCTCTCCTATGTTATACACAGCTAAGCGCCTTCTAAACTCACATTAATATGTCATCATTTTCATCTTCCCTATTCTGCTCCCCACTATCCCCCTCCCACACTACCCCTCCCCCTATGCCTTTTAAATTTCTTTGTTGACACTGTTCAACTCAAAAAACTGTAAATCACATAGGGACTTTTAGAATTTACACACAGAGTGGGCTCGAGGTAACCTAAAGGAACATGGACCAAACCTGAAGTCCCAGTCTGCACAAACCCATGGTTCTCATCGGTTCCTCCCAGGGCGGACAAAACTAGAAACAGATTTTAGTGGGGCACCTGGGTCGAGTCGGCCCCGCAGCTTTCTCCAACTGCAGAGAGAGACTAGCCAGAAACCAAGCGAGGCTTCCCTGCTGTTTTCCGCGGTTTCTTCGCTCTTCCCCTACAACCCTCAAATGGGAAGCAACTGTTGCCACCCTGTGGCAAAGTGAGGGCACTGCACCTCGGTTACCGAGGCCAGGGTTTGGCCAAGGTTTGTCCTCCCCTTGAGCTGCTTCTCCAAGTAGTCTGTCTTACGCAGGACTCTTTCTTGGCTTGATATTTATTAACAAAATAACCTTGGTTACCTTATTCTGATTCAAACACCATTTTACAAAAAAAGAATCTGGGCATTTTAATGTTTGGCAATATAGGTTTCAAATTGTTTGGAGCCCTCACTCGCTAATATTTATAACTTCTATCTTAATGTTTTAATACCTGGTGTTATGGCGATGCCAGCCAACTGGTGGCCTAGAGTTGTGGGGAAAACGAGCAGCTGGCACTGAGCAAACATCTTGTACCTGAAGCTGTCAATGTTCTGAAAACTAAAGCACATTTTCTGGTTGGAGTCATCCAAGGCCAACATCAGTGTCAGCTGGCAGAGCCAGTTCTGAGTCTCCAGCATCCTCATCTCGTAGCAAATTGCTCTCTGAATCAGTGCTTTGGACATCTGGTGGCTTTACTGATCCCCGGGGACAATACAACAACAGTAGCCATTTATTTATGTCCCAGGAACCAGTGAGCAACCTTGGGCTTGGGGGAAGATGGACACTGCTCCACTACAAGGTACAGTGAGTCACATCTGAACTATACTGTTAACCGATGAATCATAAAAATAAGATCAGGGAAGGCCCTGGAGATATAAAGTGTGTTGTGAAATGAAGTGAAGAAAATGTTGAAGAGTAGGGGAGCCTCACTTAATTTCTGGCTGGTCTCGCTCTGCAATTAGAGAAAGGGGTGGGGCTGACTCAACCCAGGCACCCCAATAAAATCTGTTTTGAGATATCCTCATCCCAGAGGAAGCTATGAGAACATTGGATTTGAGAGGTACTTTTGAGGGAAATGGGGCCCGTAGTTGGCCCATGAAGTTCCCTCCAGGAAGGCCTGTAATTCAGTTACTAACAGCATCTGACTGTGTGCAAGAAAGAGCTGGAAGCTCCATTTTATATGCGAGAAAACTAAAAGCTGCCAAGATCACACACAGCTAGTAAACAACATGGCCACGACTCCACCCCATTCTCCTGGCCGTCCCAGCACATGCCCTTTTCCTCCCATAACACCAAATACGTCCCTGTTTAACTGCCTTTACTTTGTGTTTCTGTTCTGCTTTGGACTAAGAAATCATGCTTTTGAAAGGTCCCTTAGCAAGCTGTTTTTAAGGTACCCAGGGAGAATAAACAATAACCCCCAGTCCTTTCTGGATGGTTTTGGCAAACGCTTCCACCCCAGTTACCACTTAGCACAATGAATGACCACAGAAGGCTGGCCACCAGCTTTCAGCAATCTTCTAAAACAAACATCTAGTCTAGCAGCCTCTCTGCTGCTTTAGTCCCAGAACAACCAAAGTCCTTCTTGGCAGGTGTTATACAAAGGGCACAAACCTTGCACCATGGTGATCACAGTCACGGTCAGTTCTAGGTAAACAGACGCTTTTGCTGAGCATGTATCACTGAACTCGTGGCAAGAACTTCTAGGTAGGTTTTTAAAAACAAAATAAAAATGAAATGTTTCTCTTGATCTACAAGAAACAAAGGCTTAACAGATCCAGATGTCAAACAGTATCCACATACTTATTGCCACTAGAGATATTTAGTTCTCCCTAGTATTATATACTCATTCCTCACATGTTTCCTGAGCACTTACTGCGTGTCTGGGTATAGAGCTGTGAATAAAATAGACAGAGCCCCAGAGAGCTCACGTTCCAGTGGGTAGACAGACAATAAGCAAGTAAACAAACATTGATTGTAGATGACAAAAAATACAATGGCGCTCTTGTTAAAAAAAAAAAAAAAGATACTGCAACAGAGAATGGGTGGCTGCTGAAAGCAGTCGGGCAGGTCTTTCTGAGTAGGTGACTTTGAAACTGACACTTGAACAAGAGGATGCGACTAAGCAGAGTGGGAGGAACAGACTGGGAAAGCTCTGAGGTGGGAAGGCACCAGTGTGACTCAGGGCCAGGGCGGGAGCACAGGCTCGGGGGGGGGGGGGGGGGGGGGGGGGGGGGGGGGGGGGGGGGGGGGGGGGGGGGGGGGGGGGGGGGGGGGGGGGCTCGGGGGGAGTGGACAGGAGCTGTGGATCCTGCAGGTCACCGCAGGAAGGGTGACTTCTATTCAGGGTGCAACAGGAAGCCACTGATGGAATTTTAACCATGGGGGTGACACTGATCTGATATAGATTCTTAGGTTTAACTCTCTTTTCCACGGAGAACAACTGGTAACAAACCAAGAGTAGAAAAGGAGGATGAGTTAGGAGATGATTTCAGAAATTTATGTCAGTCACAAAGGTATCCTTGGAGTTCAGCAAAAGAGAGGAAGCAAATGGCATATGTATCTTAGAGACAAAAAAGGAAAGAGATTGAGCTCGGCGCCTGTGGCTCAATCGGCTAAGGCACCAGCCACATACCCTAAGGTGGTGGGTTTGAATCCCCAGCCCGGGCCGCCAAACAACAATAGCTGCAACCAAAAAATAGCCGGGCGCTGTGGTGGGCGCCTGTAGTCCCAGC